GAAAGCTTGGCAGTCAAGCCGTTTGTTTAGATCCCTCGTTTATTAAGAGGGGGGTAATGGGGTATTTTCGTGCTGCGTATTGGGGTAATTTAATTATTCGTTCTTCGTTCAGTCATCTTTTTATTAAACGTTTTTCGATCCCGACATGCATGGATGCCGTGTATCGTGCTTGCGGTGTATTCAATATCCGTTCTCCGTTTTCAGCTGTATTTAAAGACGGTTATTTCTCGTTTCTGGACAATATATTCCATTAATTTTGTTTCTGGATTTTAGCTATGTTTTGATTGGGGAACGGAGGTTTCAAAGTTTATATAAATCATGAAAATCGACGCAATTGTAAACAAATAGGTGAACACACCGCCTAGTACAGACTGTTTATATTCACCTTTAAGACTTCTAAGTATGATTGTTGCTTACATTTCATGTTCACTTTACATTTCAGATTCGTAATAAATTTATTTTACGCGCTTCAGGACTTCCTTCTTTTATTTTTCATGCTTCAGGATCGCTGCATATTATGTTTCGTGCTTCAGGATCGGTACCCCCCCATTCCCCCATCTATTAATGATGAAACAAATGACTTTAGCGTATTTTCTTGACGCACTTTAATTCCAATTGCGGAGAGTAGATCGCAGAGAGCAAAACTATTTGTATTCAGTCCTTGCACAGAACTCACTGAATCTTTGGTTAAAGGTGATCTACAGTCCGTATGTAAACAAAGCCTTTGTTTACATTTTTGTGTCCAAAGTATTGAGCTTTATTCGACAACTATTTATATTTTCAAGCTTCTAGAGTATAATAAATGATCAAGAAACAACAATCAAGCTTTTCAAGAACTCAAAACATAGTTAAACTGTTTGTATCATAAAAAGCGGGCTCATTTGTGCACATGCGCAGATCGGACTGTAGATCACCTTTAAATAGAGAAACTGAACTCTTAAAAGTGGTCTTGTCTAAAAGTACACACGAGTGACCACGAATGACCACGAGTGACCACGAATGACCACGAGTGACCACGAGCGATTTCTATGTTTAAAAGTCATAAAATAATAATAAAAAACTATTTTAAGGTGGCTCCATAGGGTTTTTGCATTATACTACACTTTTGTATCCAGAAAACTCCTGTTTCTTCACTTTACATGGCACGAAGACGAAATTTATTGGACACATTGACAATGCTCTCCTGAACATTGCAATTTACTACTTTTGCCCTGAAAGTCCGTTACCATGGTGACAGCGTGCTTTGGATAATTAAGCTCAAAATATGTCTTTTTCCGGCCGTTTTAAAAATTTACTGAAAAATTTGCATAAAAGATCTTTCTCGTTTAATGATTTTTTTCTTCAATTTTAAAAATGGATCGTTTCTTAGATTATTCCCTTCAATAAAATTTTAAGAAAAAAAAGATATTGAGCTTGTTTAGCCGATATTAAGAAATGTGCAAAGTTTTAAAACAATTTACCGAAGGAAAAGGGAGAAATTTAGGTTTAACAGATTTTGGCATTTTTTGCGAGATGTGACGTGTAACCACCCCAACTGTGAAACTCAGACAAAAATCAGGTAAAATTCCAGTTAAAATTTTGATATTTTCAGGTAAAATTTGCGTAATAAAGTAATTATTTGTGTGAAATGATAACCATTTTTGTAAAATATACAGTCAATTTACATCCAATTTGTTTGCGAATTTGCTTTAGAAAACGCCAGAATTGCAGTCCTAGAGCTTCAAAAATGGAACAATTTTCTGGGGGAGGACCCCCAAACCCCGTTTTCTCCCGAAACTTAGTATGACAGTGCAAGTCAAATCACAAGAAGCTTTATTATAATTATTACACTTTAGGTAAATATTTATTAAAAATTCAAATTTCAGGTAAAATACTCCGACAACCCCGCCCACCCCCCCAACTTCAGATGCTCTGCTATGTTCTTGTAGACTGACGTGTACAATAGTCGAAAAACTAAAAAAAAGTTCCCGAAGGGATTTTTAAAATGGCCGAAAAAAGAAAAATTTTGAGCCTTATCCTAAGCACGCTGTTGCCATGGTAACGCACTTTCAGCACAAAAGTAGCACATTGCAATGTTCAGGAGAGCATTGTGAATGTGTCCAATAAATTTCGTCTTCATGTTATGTAAAGTGAAGAAACAGGCGTTTTCTGGATACTATAGTGCAGTATAATGCAAAAACCTTAGGGAGCCACCTTAAAATAGTTTTTATTATTATTTTATGACTTTTAAACACAGAAATCACTCGTGGTCACTCGTGGTCATTCGTGGTCACTCGCGGTCATTCGAGGTCACTCGTGGTCACTCATGGTCACTCGTGGTCACTCGTGGTCATTCGTGGTCACTCGTGGTCACTCGTGGTCATTCGTGGTCACTCGTGGTCACTCGTGTGTACCAAAATTTTTCGGAACATCATACAAATTTTTCCAGACATCACAAATTTCCCACAAAATTGACAGAATTTGTCCCATTTATTTTTATAATAAGCCAATATTGCCCGACTGTGGAGCGATTGTTTGCCCAATGATGCTTTGTTACGCCCATGATGTGGCTCCATAGGGTTTTTGCATTATACTACACTTTTGTATCCAGAAAACGCCTGTTTCTTCACTTTACAAGACACGAAGACGAAATTTATTGGACACATTGACAATGCTCTCCTGAACATTGCAATGTGCTACTTTTGCGCAGAAAGTCTGTACGTTACCATGGCATCAGCGTGCTTAGGATAAGGCTCAAAATTTGTCTTTTTTCGGCCATTTTAAAAATCCTTTCGGGAAGTTTTTTTAGCTTTTCAAGTATTGTACACGTCAGTCTACAGGAATATAGCAAAGCATCTGAAATTGGGGGGGGGGAAGGATTGTCGGAGGATTTTACCTGAAATTTGAATTTTTAATTAATAAATATTTACCTAAAGTGTAATAATTATAATAAAACTTCTTGTGATAATGACTTGCACTGTCATACTAAGTTTCGGGAGAAAACGGGGGTTTGAGGGTCCTCCCCCGGAAAAGTGTTCCATTTTTGAAGCTCTAGGACTGCAATTATGGCGTTTTCTAAAGCAAATTCGCAAACAAATTGGATGTAAATTGACTGTACATTTTACAAAAATGGTTATCATTTCACACAAATAATTACTTTATTACGCAAATTTTACCTGAAAATATCAAAATTTCGGGGGGGTGGGGGGTGGGAGGGGATTATAAATCAGTCATCTCGCAAAAAATGCCAAAATTAAACCTAAATTTCACCCTTTTCCTTCGGTAAATTGTTTTAAAACTTTGCACATTTCTTAATATCGGCTAAACAAGCTCAATATCCTTTTTTCTTAAAATTTTATTGAAGGGAATAATCTAATAAACGCTCCATAAAAGTTTTAACATTGAAGAAAAAATCATTATACGAGAACTGATCTTTTGTGCAAATTTTAAAATTTTTAAAACGGCCGGAAAAAGACAAAATTTGAGCTTAATTATCCAAAGCACGCTGTCACCATGGTAACGGACTTTCAGCGCAAAAGTAGTAAATTGCAATGTTCAGCAGAGCATTGTTAATGTGTCCAATAAATTTCGTCTTCGTGTCATGTAAAGTGAAGAAACAGGAGATTTCTGGATACAAAAATGTAGTATAATGCAAAAACCCTATGGAGCCACCTTAAAATAGTTTTTTATTATTATTTTATGACTTTTAAACACAGAAATCATTCGTGGTCACTCGTGTGTACTTTTAGACAAAACCGAATTTTTAAGTTTAAAAAGCAAAATGTGTGCTCTGCGGACATGTTCATGAGAATATAAAAACAAATAATCCAACATGAAATGAATATCTTTATATTTTTCGTATTTATTTTCGTGCAATGAAATCTACAACACTTGTCAATTATATTGTATAACTGTGTCTAAAAATAACATGTGGGCGTCCAACGGTTTAGACAGGTTTTGTGTCAGGCCCTATTCTAAATTAGGGCCTGAATTTCAGGTTTATCTAATTGGCTGACGAGAGTTCCGTATCACACGATACCATGTGATAGCCAGCAGTGGAATGCCTTCAACCATAGTACTTGTCTGCTCCCCGTCAGTCTTTTCTTGAATTTTCCAACAATAATTAGGCCTGCAATGGAATAAGAAATCGGTTTATAATAACCTTTTCTCTATTCATGACATCTTCACTCTTCAGAAATAGTTAAGTTTGCTTATTGTGTTACGGGCCACGTCCGTTCTCTGCATTGCCACGCATACCGCCAATCGACGTTCTATATGACAATCAAATTACATAAAAATAGCTGGCTCCTTCATCTACTAGATAATAGTCAAATACTTGGTGCATGTAGTGGTAGGCCTTTCCCGATTGCGCTGGTAAAATCCTAAAAAAGTGCTGGCAAAAATGGCTAAAAAGTGCTCAAAAAGTGCTCAAAATCTCAAAATAGTGCTCAAAAAGTGCTAAAATTGTGAACAGTTACCTTTAAGATTTTCGTAAATTTTTTAAAATCAGCATTTTTTAAAATCTGTTTCCACGTCTTTCTCCATATATGGAACAAACTTCCGTATATGGAGTTGTTTACGACAAAAAAAAGAGAACTCGAAAAAGTCAGCGTTCTAATTTTTTAACTGTAATGTCATATGCAGCTGTACGGCTTTTCTTTTGGAGTTATACCTAAATTATATATAAAATAATAGTATAATACCCGTCAATTTTTAAACCTTACTCCGAACTGTATGTTTAGTTAATCGAGGTACGAATCGAATTCTATAATTGCTGACTTTTTGTTGCTCAAAATTCGCTCGAAATGTGAAATATTGCTCAAATGTTGCCCAAAGTGCGAAAAAGTGCTCAACGTTGCTCAACATGCAAAATGGTGCTCCAAACAAAAAAGTGCTCAAAAAGTGCTCAGCGCAATCGGGAAAGGCCTATGTAGTGGGGTGGGGAGGGGAAGGGAGGGGAAGAGAGGGGTTGAGAGGGGAGGGGGCCTGCTATAAAAAATAAAGTAACATTAACCTTGGGGATGGGTGCACTCCCGTATTCTGCACCAAACAAGACTGCGTTTAATGCTCATAAATTTCTTTTATTTAAGACAAGTGAACGCAAAGGCAGCAGATTTTCTCGTACCACGACATTGGTGTTCTTATTGTTGATTATCGTTATTGTGCTGGTAATGCTCATTGCTCTAACTTATGGCAAGGACTTACAATGTGATGACGATGACAGGAACAATCTGGAGCACACTCGAAGAAAAAATTCATCTACGGAATCCAACAACTTGATATCCTTTCTCCTTTTCTCTGATGTCCACCTCGATCAATTTTACAAATCCACGGCAGGAATAGATAGCTTCTGTAGAAATGAGAGCGAGCCTAGCGCTTATAATGCGCCTTATGGAAGAATTGGTTGCGACAGTCCATTGAGATTACTGAATGATGCATTGAATGCTATGAAGAAACAAGCAAATAACTTACCCAATCTGGACTTTATTATGTTGTCAGGTAAGGAATTTTCCCAATACAAACACAGGAGAAATAAATATCATTTAGGCAAAAAAGTTCGAAAGTTTTGGCCTACAGAAATTTGATTTTCTACGTGCTGAACGTCATGCTCATACCAAGCTAAGTGTGGTATGATTTGTGTTCTAGCAAGATCAGAGTCACTGTTGTACGTGTAGTCAAGGTTCTGGAAATGGGCTATTTTCCACTTTAATAGAATAACAACAGTACACAGGGGCACACATTCAAAAAAAGTTTGAGAGGGGTGTTCAACGTTCCGGGACCGAATTTTTGATGTTAGCATTTGGTAACTTCCTGCAGGTCTGCCCCTCAAATTTGAAATATGTATACTAATGCTAAGACTTGGAATATAAAAATAGGTACGCTGTATCGTACATGGCGTCTACTGGGTCAAGAACAATCTCGTTTTCCGAGCATGCGATCCTCGGTAAGGAACGTGAGGTTCTGGGATAATCCGTTGCCGGAAGCCAGGAATCCTGGCTAAGATCGAACTGTGCATTCCATATCAACGGCCAATCAGATTCCTCCTTGAAACGGATTATCCCAGAGCCTCGCGTTCCTTCCCGAGGATTACCGGCTCGGGGAACGAGATTGGGTCAGAAACAAAGAATGCTTAATGTGAATAAAATACATGAAATTATCAATTTTATTAGAATAAGCTATAACATATCACACGAATATATACCTTAATTTATACCAGCTTTCATAGCAAATATGATGGGTCAATCAGTCCTTAAATTTTAATGTATAAGTATTAATTATACCACTCCCGAGATATTCATTTTTCGCAATATAGTTTGCAGCCAAAAACGTTTATTGACAGTAGGCAATATCTTTTCAAAGATTTCTTCGTTTTTGTTTTCCGATGACATGATGGCTGGACGTGATGAAGTTTTGCATTCAATTTGATAACAACGTTATACACTTGTGAAGTTAGGATCTTTCCAAGATAAACATGTAAACATTCCATGTTGATACTTCCAATTTAGCATTGTTTTCTAAACGTATATCTGATGCTTTTATGAATTTTTAGTTTGTTGCACACGTCCGTACAATTCGCAAATTGTGGTCATTTCTAAAAATATAAAAAGAAAACAATTTGGCTGTCAACAAACCCAACAGTGCATGTACCTAGCATCTTTGAACTTCGAAGATCAAGGTTAATTTGATCTATTCTCATGACAAACTTCAATGTTTTTACCAAGAGAGTTCAATGTTTGTCAAGAGCACTTGACAGGTTTTAATCTGATCAGCTAATCAAGGTCAACAAGCTCCAAACTGATTGGCTGCGAATCAATGTTTTAGCTGCGACCGTTCATCCTTAGTTGCAAGCGAGGGTAATACCAAACATAAAATCGGGGAAAGCAATACTAATAATTTTAATGTATAAAACAAAAGCAAACAAAGTTAAGGATGAAAAAGATAGAAAATTGGAAATTTTTGAAGGTGTTTATATAGCATTGTCAACCACAATGCATTATGCGCTCAAACCAGCATGGCGGACATTTATAATGGAGTTTTGGTTTTCAATCCATAATATTTTCATCCATCCTATGGTTATACTTGCTCATTTTAACTTTTTTATACTAAAATTACACCAAAGAAATGTTTATTATCGGCATTTGTTGCTATTTGTCACTTCCGAAGGTAAGACGTGAACAAATGCATTGTGGTTGACAATGACTCATTAAATTTTTATATTTAATTATATGATCTCAATTTATATCAAATATGGAGTTGAACAAGAACAAACGTATAAAATATTAATAGCCGCACTGCATGTAATTGAAGCTTTATAAATAGAACAAGTATTCTCACCGACTGAAAACACTGAATATTGCTATACCTCCTCTGCAGGCCATACAGTCCGTAATGAGTATACCCGTTCGCAGGTTGAAATTTGAAATTTGAGACGAAGGCTTGCGTAACTGTAAGGCCTGCTGAATAACATGTCGATTACTTGGCTTATAGTGTCGATTACTCGGTTGGATCAAATTTTTTCAAAAATATAGCACATCGTCTGCCAATCTTTACCAATCCCGTTTTGCGAGTATTTTCTAAATACATCTTGGCAGTTATGGCTGATAAAAGCGACGAGGAGATTCAAATAATGGAGGGTTTTACAAGCACAAGCGACAGTGAAAATATAGACGTTGTGAATCTATCATTTGGCCAAATGGGATGTTTTGACAATACTAATACACACACATTTAGGCCACATAAAAAAATAGTTGGTTAGCGTCCTTAGCTTTTGCCAAAAATGAGCGGGCGGGCGCTTTTTTTATAGTTTTTACTAATTTTTAACGCCTTGGTTTTAGGTCCGAAACTGGATTTTCTTGCGCAGTACAGATATTTTTTTATATATTTCAAACAGTGATTCATACCGTCATTTTCGCACGCAATTTCGCAATTTATTAACACAATGACTACAGTGAACAGAAATACTACATATATTAGAGCCCGTTGATCAATAAAAGTTGTTTTTTTTTAAAATAAAAAGTGAGCGTGAGCGGGGCCTTTTTTGTGGGCGGGCAAGGACGCTAACCAACTATTTTTTTATGTGGCCTTAAATAGTTACACTGTATAAAAGACAAATATAAATGGAATAAATTTCGTGGATAAACGGCCGCATGCCTGACATATGACGTGTTTTATACATAAAAGCGCTGCGTGTTTGTAATATGCAAATTATAAACTGATATTTATCTGCTTCTCTTTATAAATCATTGTATGCTTGTTTGTTCAGTGTTCACTGTTTTTATGTATATTGCGGATACGAAAAGCGGTCTATATATCAGAAGTAGTTAAAGACTTTAATTATGATATTGTTCTGCATGGTAAAATAATATATGGGGGCCTCATATATTTAATATAATTTGGTTTGTGGCTCCCGCCATTTTGGAAAATTAGTCCGCAGGCCCTCCGGTTCGTTTCCCACCAATTTTATTTTTTTTGAAAGGCCTGCGGAGGAGGTAGCTGAATATTGTCAGTGAATGAGTGAAATACAATATAACTTGATGTACGTTATTATTTATCTCGGCAACTTGCCAATTGAATACACGAGACTGTATTATCACTCTCAAAATAGCTTACTATAAGTCTATATACTCTAAAAACTCAAAAACCCTACCTTAATACTAGAGAAACTTTCTTCGAACTTCGCAATTTGAAAAACTGATAGAAGACTATTGAGTGTATAATGCCATAAAAGACTGTTGCTGTTGTCTAAATGATCAAACCATTTATCGTAAACAGTTCGGAAACTTTCGTAGATGCGCGGGCTTTCATAACTGTTCCAAAATTTTAGATTTTCATTTGTTTGCAGACGATTCTAATATTTTGTATACTGATAAGAAACTATCGAAGGTGGAGTCATGCATCAATAGTGAAATAAAATGTGTTAGTACATGGTTATGTGCTAATAAATTGCCACTTAACAATAGACCTTTATAAAAAGGTTGACGTCAGCAGGCTTGTGACGTAGTTTGCGGAGAAAATCCGGAAAGCTCAGAGTTGTTTACTTATTTTGAGTTTTTTTTAAAGCCAAAAGAAGCCAGTATTATGGTAAGTTTGAAGCAAATTTTTCTATATATATAGGCCAAATGAGTTTTCATATTCGTCGTATAAATTTTATTTGTTTTTATATTAGATTGTACATTATTTTACTGTTATGAACATTTAGCAAATTGTTCGCCCGGTTTTCTTTTCTGTTTCTCAAATTCATCAGTGTATTAAAACAGCTCCGCTTCCGTTTCTGAAGATTTAAACTTTAAATCTCACACTTCATCCGAAATTTTAAGTTATATTTGCTAGCTTTTTCAATATACTTGCCAATTTTTTACCCGGGTATGTCCTTTTCTGTCAACTATATCGATAAAAATAATAGACACATTAAACTAGTCATTGTGTACAAGATGTACTCAGAGTCTATAAAAGTTCACTTATGACAATATTAGACCTCTTTGCATGATCACTGAGCCTGTGTATTGCTGTCTACTGCTTGATTGAGGCCATTCTGATGATTAGACTGATGAATTTGAGAAACAAAAAAGAAAAATTATACTTTTTAGCAACGAAACTATGTAAACAAACCGAGCGAACAATTTGCTGAATGTTGACAGTAAAATAATGCACAATCTAATATAAAATCAAATAAAATTTAAACTAAGACGAATATGAAAACTCATTTGGCCTATATATAGAAAAATTTACTTCAAACTTACCATAATACTGGCTTTTTTGGCTTTAAAAAAAACTCAAAACAAGTAAACAACTCTAAGCTTTCGGGATTGTCTCCGCAAACTACGTCACAAGCCTGCTGACGTCAACCTTTTTATAAAGGTCTATTGAAAAGTCTAGTTTTGTTATTTTCCATCCAATCCAGAAAAAGATAGGTGATAGTTTTCAGGTGATTTTAAATAATGAATCTTTAAAACGCGAGTACAAAACCAAATACTTAGGCGTAGTCATAGATTGCCACTTAAATTGGAGGGATCATGTCTCTCATGTCTCAAAGAAAATTAAACGTAATATTGGTGCGATTTCGAAAGTTCGTCACTTTGTTAATCTGGAAATTCTTAAAAGCCTTTACTATGCTTTGGTGTATCCATATTTAACTTATTGTTTAATCACTTGGGGTAATACCTACCATACTATATTAAATCCACTTTTTATTTTACAAAAAAGATCGTTAGGTCAATCACATTTTCAGATTATAACGATCATACTAATCCCTTATTTCTAAAACTGAAGATTATTAAGATGTATGACCTTGTTCACTTAGTCACTGCTACGTTTATGTACGACTTCCATTATGGAATCTTGCCAACATCATTTGACACCTTTTTTCTAGACATAAAACATAGCCATGATACAAGACTTGCCTCTGGGTCATCATATTCAATTCCAAAAATTAGGACCAATTATGGAAAATTTAATATAAGGTTTATTGGAGCAAAGACTTGGAATTCGCTCAGTGAATCCGCTAAAAAACTTACAAAAATTGGATTCAAAATGGATTTGAAAAATGGTATAATTCAACAGTATAGTAATCTTAGTTGAGCTGCATGCTAATTTAATTTAAATATTCCTTTAATCCTATTTAATAATTTATTTAGAAACTTTCTCCTATTCTCCGGTTTTTGACAGTTTATCTATCCATACTTATTTTTTATTTTTAATTTTGTCCAACTTTAGAGGACGTGGTCTATCTTTCCTTATATTTATTATTTATTACAAAAATTGGATTCAAAATGGATTTGAAAAATGGTATAATTCAACAGTATAGTAATCTTAGTTGAGCTGCATGCTAATTTAATTTAAATATTCCTTTAATCCTATTTAATCATTTATTTAGAAACTTTCTCCTATTCTCCGGTTTTTGACAGTTTATCTATCCATACTTATTTTTTATTTTTAATTTTGTCCAACTTTAGAGGACGTGGTCTATCTTTCTTTATATTTATTATTTATTATCTTTTTATGTATACTAATTTATTACTAATTCTCCGATCCAGTGCTATACATATTTCATAAGATAAATCCGGTGAATAGCTAACTGTCTAGATTAGCCCAGTTATGGTTATTACAGTTAGCTCTTCACCCAACGGACTTTATCAGCGATTCCACGACTCCATTCATGTGACTAGCCTTAGGCACATTCCAACATCATTCGAATGAAGTGCCAAATTCTGAAACGCTGGATTTAATCTTCGGTATGTCCCAGCCCTAGCTCTCCACCATCTCCTGCAGGTATTTTTGGTAACCAACAAAATTCGTCCCACGCAGAGGCGAAACTAGCCCCTTTTAAATGGGTTGGGGGGGGGGGTCTGCTAGAATTTTCCTGCGAAAGCCGATGATGCCCTGCAGCAAAAAATTTTTTTGGCCACTATTTCTCCCAAAAATGTTGACGAGCGGGGGGGAGGTCGAAAAAAGTTTTTCCGGACATTTAAAAAAGGGGCGAAAAAATTTTTCCGGACATAAACCAATTAAATTAAGGGTCAAACAATTTTTTCGGACACATTTCGGTTAAAACATGCATGAAACCCTTATTTTTTTACCAATATCTGTAAAATTTAGGTTTATAAATTCTATTCAATTCCCTCTGGAAGCCCTGGAAGCTACTTAATAACTCTACATTCTATCATTTAAAATCTTTCATTGCCCTGCCAATCCAGATGATTTGTACTTTGGGGGGTGTCACCCCCCCTCACGTTTGGTCCCTGGTCCCACGGTCCGACCAAACTAACTTCGGATGTCCTCTGATACATGAAAATCTTCTGAATGCCATCAAGAACGTATCTGTAGATCTGTCCGTACAAAGTTCTAAGTGGATTGCTCTACTTGTCATACAGGTGAATATGCAGCACCAAGCTTCTTTGACGGTTTTTCTTCCTAGTTTGATTTTAAATGGTCCGAAAATGGCTAAAGCAGTGTTGGAAAAAGCAGGATGATTAATGTCTGTCCTGTAGACCGTTAGCTGTCCCATATATTGTTCACAGGCTCTCTTTCGCATCAATTTGCAAGGAATGCTATCCTGCGGTGCAGACGCTTCGTATTTCATGATGAAAGGGTTTAAGCGTCTGCGTAATGGAGGGATCAAGCTTGTTCCGCCACGTGGATGTTATGCACAATTAAAATATTAATTAGCGCAAATATTTTTAATAGCTATAATTATTCATGGCGTCTTTATCGTGCGTTTTGTGTTTCTCGTTGTTAACGAAAGCTTGTGATAGAAATTTAGTCGAAAATAAGGGGGAATTTTCAGTAAAAAGTGAGATTCAAGACCTTTATTTTGTTGTTCACCTCACTTCGCAGCATATCTGTCGTGCGTGCTTCAGGACTCTGCAGCAAAGACGAAATCACAAGAATAAGGTTGACGATTTGGAGAACAATCTTCTGCGTAAATACCGCGAAAAGGCTGGAGAAAGGGGACTCGCGATTAAAACAAAATCAACTGCGAAACGTTCGTTGTCGTTTGATAAAAGCGACGATCCGTCGACCCCGTTTAATGAACGTATCGATTGCGAACGAGAAGTCACAGCTGAATGTTTTAAACCAACGTCAAGTTCGACACCGTGCTCTTCATAACAAACATGTCGTAAAGCATCCTGAAAACATTCTCCTTCTAACTTTGCCTCCTCGACAAACGCCATGTTTTACATGTATTATGTCTTGCTCGCGCTAATTTGGGATAATTAACATTATATTGCATAAATTAACAACTAACCAATCACATTCGATTCCTACGATTTTGGGAACATCCACGTGACTGAACAAGCTTGATCCCTCCATTACGCAGACGCTTAAACCCTTTCATCATGAAATACGAAGCGTCTGCACCGCAGGCTAAAGGAATGCAGGCTTTGACATGATTTCTGGCTACATCACGTAGACCAATTACCCAATACCACATTACCACCGTCTGATTTCTACCATCAACCGCTTGTATCCACAATGCGCCAGCTTCTGGTGGTGGTGTCGTAGCAACAATTTAACCAAGGGATGACTATTCAATAATATGATTGGGTTTCGAAGTGCCTGGGGTAGCTGACGGGCATTTTCCAATCTTCCTTTAGCTTTCCAGATTCCACCTTTGTCTACGAAGGGAATTATATTTTGCATTCTTTTCCCGGTCACGTCCATTCCTGCCTGTGACATCTTGATCAGTCGTTTCTCAGCATTGTGCAGCCCAGGAACAGAGATTGGTCCCTTGATTTTCTTCTTCTGGAAGATATTCTTGATAGCTCGTACTACCAACGCAGTCACTCGTCTTGCTTTGCGAAAGGTAGATGATCCAGCCAGAATTCTGTTAAGGACTTCTTGAATATCCTCGTTATTACCAACAAACTGTCCAGTGACTATTTGCTCGTTGTTTCGTATTTCGTCAACGTTAAATGCATTGTTTACACCTTCAGTTCCTGAAGTGTTACTCTGAGTAAGTTGTAATAAGTCAATCTTGCGTTTTGACTTGCTCTTTCTCTCTGGGTCAGGTTGGACTGAGTTGGGAACGGTACTCGATCGTTTAAAGTCGGGCCATTCATTTTCTGGCTTTTGGATAAATCGAGGACCATAATGCCATAACTGGAGCTCTGCAGGTGTTATCCCTCTGGTGAGTGCGTCCGCTGGATTGGTTTCCGAGTTGATGTAATTCCAAACAGCAGTTGGTTGATTCTCCTGAATCTCAGGGACTCGGACACTCACGAATGGTTTGAATTCTGCTGGCGAGCTTTTTATCCAAGACAAGGCTGTAGTTGAATCACACCAGAATTTCTCAACCAGGTCGATTATCAAGACTCTTTTGATTTCAGCTGCTCGTCGACTCAGCATCAAGCAACCCATCAACTCTAGTGTCGGTATGGTCTTCTTCTTCAGTGGTGCAACCAGGGCTTTCGCTGCAACGAATCTGGAAGTAAATTTGCCGTCCGCCAATTCCCACCGAAGGAAGAGGGCTCCACCATATCCTAATTCTCCGGCATCTGAGAATCCATGGAGCTGTGGACTTCCCACCGAGGTTTCAGGCTTTAGGGATCTTTCCAGGTGGGTACCTAGAAGGGCGTTCATGATCTCGACGTTCTTTTGCCATTTAAACTTTTCTTCAGGTGGCAATAACTCATCCCACTGATAACTTGCGGCCCATAGATCTGTATACACTGTCTCTCTCTTCAAAGCAATGCTATCAGCTTTCTTATTCCATTGATGGCCCAGTAGACTCACCGAAAACTCTAGGAGACTCCCGAACATGTCGAATGAATGCACATTCTCGCATTTCCTTCTCAGAGCATGTACAGTAACGCGTTGGTTTGATTCCTAATTGATCTTGGAAAATCAATTTCTTTATGTCCTGGTCCTTTGTTATGTCGTCAATGGTTTCGACAGCAAAAATTCCAGGTGTACTATTCCCTTCGAGATTACCAAGGACTGACCAACCAAAGATGTTCTTCTTTGCATTCGGTTCACCAGGGTTACCCGCCAGAACTTTAAAATTACGATGGGCTTCCGGTAGATCTGTTCCCAATAGAATGTCCACTGGACCGCCATTTAAATATAGATCTTATACAATTCGAACAAGGTGAGGAAATCTGACTACCGCTTTCTTTGAAACAGTTTTGGCTGCTTGGCACGGTTTCTTGACTGAATAAGCTTTCACATTGAATACAATATCTTCATCATAACAGGGCGATATCTTTAAATCAAACTCAGCAGAATCTTCAACTCTAATTCCACCGCCTGCAACATACATCTTCATTTTTTTGTTTCTCCGACCAAACCGAGCTTGTCCGCAAACTCTTTCCGAATGAGACTCTTATTAGAACCACTATCAACCATGGCAAGTCCCTCAATAGAGTTCCCATTGGCACTGTGCACTTTGACCTTTTGAGTTGGTACATTTGCACTTCCTGCATTACCAGCTGAAATAGCACTAACCTGATTGGACTTTCCCGTACCTATAGCTCCCTCTTGATCTGGTTTGAATGGTTGTGCATCAGGGTTCAGATTGCCATGGTCCACTTGTTTTCGATCTTTATGAAATAGGTAATGATGTGGTCTTCCACAACTGTTGATATCACATGCCTTTCGCGAACACTGTTGGTGTCGGTGTCCAGTTCGCAGACATTTTTTACATCTCTTGGACTGAATCACCACTTCCCACTTTTCTTTCACTTCCATCTTCTTAAATGCTGGACAATAACCTAAACCATGTTGTTGGGAACAACCCAAACCTCAATTGTAACCACAATTGTAACCTCCGTTCACATTAGCCGGATAAATCCCTATTTTTGAAGAGCGTTATCCGATTGACTACTTGCCATTATTTTTGCCTCTTCTTCTAGGTATTCCAACAAGGTATGCAGGTTTTCAATCTTCTTTGTATCAATCATACTCCGTGCGTAAGCTCTTTGATCTTCTACAATCAATTTCGCCAGAATATCAGCAAACACATATCTACTTTTGGCTTCGTCAGATGCTCCGAAATCCTCCATTCTGAGAATAAACCCACGAACTGTTGCGACCAAATTCCGAATCGACTTTGCATCTTTGACTTTCAAGGGTTTCATTGTTTTGATATCATTCATCAAAATTTTAATCAACTCTTTGTCGTCTCCAAAAAACTTGTCGAGGAATTCCCATATCGCTTTAGTTGTAGTAAAACATTCAATTTCATATCTTAGGGGGGCTTGGATAGCTTCAATCAATCTTGCAAGTTGACATCTTTCATTTTTATAATTTCTCTTCATTATTTTTAATGTTTTCAGAAAATTGTGGTACCTTGATTCTCTCCAGATTATACCTCCTTTGATGTTTGATCTACTTCACATTTTCGTTGATATTGTTCTAACTTTGAGAGTAAATCGCCATATTTTGCAACGATTTCCGTAATAAAAATATCATGGTTTGTAAAATCGGCTTTCTCAATGTCAGCTTCGACCATTAAGTCGGTAGTTCCATCGTGTATTTCTCTTACAGCTTTATATTTTACCTTTACTTCGCCAAAAGCCTCTTCAAGACGATATATTTCTGGGCGAGCTTCTAGCACAAATTCGAAGCTTTTTACCTCGTCGTCGAATTTTTTCTTCGCCGAATTCTCTTCCGATTTAACTCTTCAATTTTAACCATCGTTGATGCGATCTTTAACACTCGATGTCTTTGTTTTCAAGCGTGTCACTACTCGAACGCGTTCGGAGTTGTTATTGATCTGGCATATTTCGCCCAAAATAACTTTGAATCCCATTTCGCTCTATTAATCAAACTATTTTGACTGTTGTGAACTTTTCGCAACACAAAGACACGGACAATGTTCTAAGGTTTATTTCGTACAAGTTTTAATACATTTTTATTGTATTATTTGGCTGTCAAAATAGTTGTTGTTCCCTTTTGTCCTTCGATTTTCGATCGTATGATTAAAACAAACAACACGTGACCAAAATTAACATAATTAAATATCAAATAATTAGCATGCATTATGCAGTTCTATATTGAAGTGTCAAAACAAGTAATCCTTAGACACAACAAACGAATGTCTTTACGTGATTTTTGTTCTTAATTCTAAAATATACTATATTACTATTTACTGTATTATATGATCATATTATAAGATCAACTCAAGTATTTTATTCTCTTTCAGTACATACCCATATCGATACGCTCGCTTAAAAAACCTGCCAATATTTCTTTCGGAGGGCCGAGCACAAAATTTCAATACCGTAAGAAAATATAACGATAATATAATTGAGTAAAAAAGATAGCTGAGATGTTCCTTCCGATATCCATACCTTCTGCATACTCTAAGAATATACATTCGGCTTCCAGCTTTCGATAACAAGTCATCAACGTGTAGGTCCCAGCAGCACACATCGTCCTCGAAGGTAACGTCCAATACCTTCTATAGGCACTGGTGGAGGCTTAGAAGTTCCACCATTTAGAAGCATTCCCATGTTTTTGATAAGTTTATGTAAAGTCATTCTGTTTCTCCTTGCCCAGTTCTCGATGCTCCTCACTTCCATTATTGCAGAATCACTATTTGACTTTACTGGTGCACTAACTGTCATGTCACCAGCAAATTACATATTATGTACAACTATCATGTCACCAGCAAAATACGTTAGTTTCAGGTTGTTTGGATTTTATGTCATCAACCATAAGAGAAAATATATAGAAAAGGGCTAATGACGGTTCCCTGTGGCACTCCCTTGTTAATATCTACATATTCTGTTATGATTCCGTCAACCAAAACTCTTTGTTTTCGTTTCGTCAAAAAACTTATAATCCATGCAATTGATGATATAAGGATTTAGGTTAGTTTAAGTTTTTCAGTTATGATATCATGTGGGACCGAATAAAAGGCTTTACTAAAATCTAAAGATAAAACCCGAATGACTTTGTTCAGCGTCTTCGTCCAACCATTTCAGCCAATGATGCTAGCATTTAACAAGTGCTGATGTTATACTTGCAAACTGATTATGACCAGTGATTGACTTAGAGTGTTCCAAATGATGTTTGTCAAAGAAATGGGTCTTAGCTGGCTGCGTGCAGCCTGATATTAATGTTGACTATTTTTGTATTGCGCTGATATTTGCGAGTTTCCACAGCGAGGGAACATGTTGTTCATGCGAGGACAGATTTAGACTGCGAGCAGGCTAGGACAGATTTAATTAATACTTTGGTAAGTACAGGTGCAAGATAATGAGCATAGTCTTTCCACAGCCAGTATGGAAGTCCATCTGGGCCTGGCGAAGTTCGGTTTTGTTTCATCATGAACATTTCAACTGTTTGTGTATCAACCTTCAGAATTCGAGTTTCTTGGGAGATTTTTAAGAGTGATGGAGGTGTATATACTGAGTGTCCGTATTTACGCTTTGAAAATAGGTGTTAATAATATTTGAATCGATGGAGGACTAATGTTATGGGAATTTATACTTCTGCCAGTGATTGACAGTATTCATGCACCAACCTTTTGCCCATTGTTGCCTCTTGCTGCATGTAGTCGCTCAGATCTCCATCAGATTGATGGGTATATTTGTCGTATTTTCATCAATTTCATTTGTTGGATCAGAAAACTGTCAAAGTAGAATTATTATAATTGTTAGTTATTTTGTCTCTAATTATTAAAACAAAAGCCTTTAAATATTCATAGTACCCATAGGAAATAATATTGGCATACACTTAATGTCTGCTCCCGAGGGAAATAGTTTGTTTTGTTTTCCCGAGAGTCTCAATTGCAATGTTACGTTTCCCGAGACTATAAAGCAACGAGAAAAAATCAACATTCAACAACATTCATACAACAATTCATACAAAACATTCATACAAAAACTCTATAGTGTATAAACGTGTTCAAAACTAAAAGAACCTACTTAAACGTTTCAGCAGTATGGTGGCCGAGAACTGCCAATAGTTTTTTCGTATTTTTTATTAGGAATTTTTTTAGAAATAAATATTTTTTAAAACCATTTTAAAAACACAATCAAATTTAAAATGAAATTAAAAACAAAAGTAAAATAAAAGTGAAATGAAAGTTAAATAAAAAGAAAATAAAAATTTAAAGTAAAACAAAATTAATTTAAAATAAAATAAAATAAAAATTATTTTCTTTATTGGCCGAGCGCTGCCACTACCATGATTCTTTGCGAACTTAATAATCGCATTCTAATATACTTCATGTCAGCTGCCATATATATATATATATATATATATATATATATATATATATATATATATATATATATATAGTATATATAGTGGTTCACGGGAAATTAAAGATGGCCGACATCAGGAACGCAAACTACACGATTGATTGTCTCAAAACTGCATTGCAAAATATGTTAAGCAAAGCCTTAAAGGTCTGAACTTCTAGATCTTAATACGGAACATGAATTCCTCAAAATTCTGCGAGCATCCGTAGCCTCGACAGACGCTTCAAGATTTTATATGAAATATAAGGCTATCATGGGGCACGAAAAGGAAACAGAAGACCGAAAAGCGTGCTGTGAGCTTTCTTAGAAAAGGAAACGATCACCTTTGAGTGACATTTACACGGACGATCGGCGGATCGGGACTGAATTTTTAGTCCGATGACACAATTTGGGACCGACTGTTTGGACCAACTCTCACACCTAATGAGCGCCATTTTTCGATCAACTCTCACACCCAAATGTGCGCCCCTGACAGGGCCCCTGACAGTACACTGTACAGTGCCAAGAACATGTTGTGTAGTCAAGATTCTGGAAATGGGCTATTTTCTGCTTAACAGAATAACAACTGCACACTGTACACTGTACAGCGCCAAGCAGCATTGCCATTTACAAATCCCACTGTTTTCATGCCTTCCAGTCGTCCATAAGATTTTGAATATTTTAGCATTCTGCAACAAGCCTTCTTTTAATTTAATATTTCCAGGTGACTCATGCGCTCATTCAATTGAGACAAACCGAAGAAAAGTGGTGCTCGAAAATATAAATACCTCATCAAAAGCAGTGAAGTTGACATTTCCTGACATCCCATATTTTCCCAGTATTGGTAATAATGATATTCCTGGTCATTATGTAATGCCTGTTGAGAATGATACATGGTATTCTGATTTGCTGAATATCTGGCAAGACGCCATACTGTGTAAACAATGTAATATGAGTTATCAGACAACAACTGAAGCTGAACTGCGCAAAACGTTTTTATATGGAGGGTATTACAGTGTGTCAATTGCAGGTTTGTAAATTAGCTTCTTCCGTTTTGAGAATTGATATATTTATGCATAGTCCTTCCTGATGTGAGATTACCTAGATATTTGTGGTCATATGATTTGGCGACAATGCACAAACGCAGGGAAAATGGGCAGGACCATTATCTGCGTAAATATCGCATCTCGTTTGATAGTTATCATTTATAGACCTGGAGCTAGGGGGATTCGGCGAAATATTTACCCTCAGTGATGATATCTCCGAGGTGCTTTGCCTCGAGGGAAATATCATCACTGGTAGTAATATTTCGACACATCCCCCGAGCGGAGGGTTTATAAATGATATATTAAACCAAAAGTTAAAGGACCCACTATTTAAAGTTGAGAATAAACTTTAAAAGTTGCTGAATAACTAATTTAGTTATACCAGACGGTTTTTGACGTTTTCTCTTTAAAATATTTGAGTCTGTATCCTTTGGATCATTGATGGTAACATTCCTCTTGAAAATCTTTAGTTAATCAATAAAAATTTTGCACGAAATTACGAACAACAGCTCACGAACGACATATAGTTTTAGCGCGTGGTGTCCACGCGTGAGAGTGAGAAACTATAATATCTCACGGTAGATCTATCATGAGATATTATAATACTTCACGCTGCATTGCGAAATCATGAATTTGAGTGAAATACCGTAAAAAATCATATATTGCAGCAATCATGCAACAAATTTCTTTAATTTGTTTCTAGCATATATTTAGTTATAACCCGGGAAAACTACACTTGTAGGATACATTGTTTATAAGTTTTGAATTTGATTTCAAAAAAGTTTTCTTCCTGAGGGAGATAAAATTTTTGCACAATCATCAGTCATTTCCAAGGGTGGGAAACATTTTGTGGAAATCTCGATTTTTAAAATTTTTTTCCGCAATCGATTGTTTCCGTGTTTCCCCAAGATTTAGATTGATTTTATACATTGATTAATTCAGGTGGTAAAATGACATTACTTGTACTCAACTCTATGTACTGGGATTGGAAGACCTGGAAACCGGATGACTATTTCCAAGAAAGAGCAGAGAAACAAATTAAGTGGCTAGAGGAGCAGTTGCAACTGGCAAAGTCAACGAACAAGAGAGTTATTTTAACCAGCCATATTCCCCCTGGGTAAGAGATGGCCGGAGGCGATTCGCTATGGCCAAAGTGTTATCTAGAAGCATGGTATTATATATGATCTCCCACAAGGATATTTCCAGCTTATTAGCCGATGACGCAATATTTCGAGTAGGCTATATAAAAACCTGCTCACAGGTTTGTATATCAATACAACATGCACATACTTTGCATACAAACTTATGCACAGTACTAGTATCAAGGCGTTCAGTGTGACTAAACCAAAAGAAACTAGCCTCATTCCCAAGTTCTCCCCTCTTGTGGAGGTAAGAAGAAAGAGCCTGGGAATATAGGTTGAGAGAAAACATGCGTTGAAATCTCCAACCAGTTATAGCAAAGCCGTCACTGCAAAACACCCGCTTATCTGATTAACATGTTCCGTAAAAAGTTTAGACATCTATATTGTCATTGTGAAAAAGCCATCTGATATGGCAATCAATTGCAACGCTAAAACTGCTAGTAGCATTAGTAACAGTCTTTTATTTTGAGTAAAGTATACACTGTACTTATATTTCTGGAATTTCCAACTGCAATAAATAGTATTTACTATAAACTGCCCAAGCTATACTCATTAAATAACATAACAAGTCTGCAGGTATATCGTTTAAAATGTACCTATTTTTTCATCGAGTTTTCGGATACAAGTACCATTACTTGTTTAAAGAACATTAACAATTAAAGTGATAAAATCCTTTCAAAACAAGATCAGAATCGCCTGTATGTTTGAAATTTGCACAACAGCACGCCGAATTTTTAACCCTTTTCTCCAGACGTTTTCAACGGTTTTCTCCCTCGCCTGTATTCTCGCACCGCGTGTTTTTTACACTGACCGCTTCGATACAACTGCGTGAGATTGCAACGCGTGTTTTTTTTTTCACTGGCTGCTTTCACATACTGTAGATGCATGGATATTTGCGTTAATATATATCTAATTGGGCTGTGATCTGCCTTGCGATTTTAGATCATCCCAGGTGCGCATGTTCCGATTGTGCTGGGCAACTTTTTAGCAACTTTGGCATTCATAGCAACTTGTTGTAATTCTAGCAACTTGAGGAAAACTATTGCTGTTGACAGGAATGACAGCACATTTGTTACCAAAATGTAGGTCAACTGCATCCTGTTCAGCCAAAATTGAATTTTATCCAATTTTGGAAGCTGCAATAAATTAATGTTGGTGCAAGTCTTCAAACCCCAACAAAAGCTGCAGGGGCCATCTGGTGTGTGCATGTGTGTGTGCCGTGACACTCCCTGAAAACATGTTGTCGGCAAAATAACGAGTTTATCGGCAAATTGTTTTCGTAGATATCAAGAATACTTGAGTGGCTGGGATTAAAAGGTGATAGTTATGGCAAAAACTTACTAAAATTACAAAAAACCCCCGAAAATTTAAGAAATTATAGCTAGGGTACACGAATTCGAACGTTAGTGAAAAATGGCATATCTGGAAAATGTTTTAAAATCTTCTCCCCTCCCCAGGTAGGCACTGCGGACGTAGCAATTAATTTATTGGCAACTTCCTAGCAACTTTTTGGCATTTTTGGATTTAACGTTTAAAGATTTTAGGAGCACATGCAATCGGGACATGCCTAATCCCAGGTGAAGACGCTAGATCGGAATGTCGAAACGTTTTGTCGCTATAATGCAATGGGGATTGCATTTATTTATTTGAATTAGGGAAGCGAGCGAAAATATGACTTGCATCTTAACTGTACCTTTTGACTACCCGTTTCGTAGTTAATTTGAACTGTGGTTACCCCTAAAATGCACGATTCTGTTTGGTAGTAACTTTACTATGTACAACCGACCACAGTACTTTTAGCATATTACGTGTTCCTCTTGTGTGTTATACCTTACCAGTTACCATTTTTCTTCATGTCTTAGTATTGATACCTATGTAGAGAAGACATTGTGGTTAACCAACTTCACGGATCTATACATGGATCTTGTCACAAACAAGTTCAGTGAAGTTGTTGCAGGTTTGTATACCGATTAAATTTATGTGTTTTGTGTAAACGACCTTGATCAGCTCAATCTCGTGGTTCCTTCCTGTTAGAAGTTCAGTGTATGTGTTTTTCAGGCTAACGATTCAGCTAAAATATCAACCATAGTATTTGTGCTGGGCTAAACAGTAGATCGTGTGAAATGACCAAAGATGATAGCAGCACCCAACTCTACCTAATTATAGTACTCATGTAACAATAGATCGGGTTGTCTCTGCCCAACATATTATTTACCTTTAAATTTTGATACTTTTTAGGTCAAATCTATGCCCATTTCCACAAGGACAGCTTCCGTTTCCTTCACGGAAACAAGAAAGATCTTTCACTTAAAAAATCGTCCTACATTTTACTAATGCCGTCTATATCCCCTGTGTATAACAATAATCCTAATTTCCGAGTTGTTCACCTCGATCCAGATCTCCAGGCAATCAAGGACTACGAGCAGTGGTACATGAATCTTGTGATGGCAACAGGTTAGATTTCAGCACAGAATTGCATGGTGCCATAACATAAATGTATGGCTTTTTTGACGTATATAGTCAATCTTGAAACCAGAGCCCGCAATCCTCTGTGGAGGCTTGCTGAGGCTCTGGGAAACACCGGTTAAAGTCGGGCTTCGATTGGTTGTTTTTCAACATCCTCGTTCCCAGGCCCAAGCTCGGGCGGCCCTCAAAGTCTTTCAAGTGCTAATTATTATTCAAACTTTGAGCCGTATTTAGTTATTCGGATTTCAAACATCGTTTAAAATTAATATAAAGTTTATTTCTCTTCAGTGTGTATTTAAATATGTTTAAACATATCAATGAAACACACAGCATTATTTTAATAAACTTATTAATCTTCCCTAGCTTCTCATATGAAATCAATAGACTATGCCAATAACGAAATGTAGAATAACAACAGTGCAGCATTACCATATAAGGTCATGATAAGCCGTTGCCTATAATATTTAAAATAACACAACAATCCATGATTTACCGTAATTAAACAAGTTAAAATAAATCACTACCAGTGTCTTACAACAATTCAAAACCATGGCAAGTGTTCTTTGAAGAACTAAAGTCGTAATAAGTTTAAACAACGGCATAATTCATGTTTGACGGCAGTAATGTCTATTTATAAATGTCGAGCGGAGTACTGGATCCAAATGTACTGATTTTCGTGCAAAAGTCGCCGGTGTTTCCCAGAGCCTCAGCAAGCCTCCACAGAGGATTGCGGGCTCTGGTTTCGAGATTGGTATATAGTATATGGGCCATTCTTGGATTAAATCAAGAAAAAATCTCATCGTACATTGAAATCATACATATATTGAACTCCGTTGACTTATTTTACTGTTAAAATTCACCTAATGGACTTCGACTATACTTCGTACAATGACCGAGATACGATATTGCACAGTACAAATGTCATATTTTCAATAAGACGCCCTATGGAGCGCGTTAACTCGCTGGGGCTATACAATGAAAACTAGATTCTGTCACCATATTTGTTCATAATTAATTTGGTAACCGCCACAGAAAAACAGAATTAACAATTTACATAAACGAAGACGCCAGCTCAGACCTCGGTTGGCCAAATGACCTCTCTCAAGTGAGTTTTGTTTCAACCTCGGTCCCAGGGTCTTTCTTAGAACTGCGCGAGGCGGTTGGTTTTGTTTATTTATTTTTGCAATATGCATTGTGCATAATTCAGACTCATTGTATAAGGGAATTTGTATTTATTATATGGACAATGGTGTTTTACTGGAAACTAAAACACTCGTAGAACTCTTACGTCACTACATCCGGGGCCAGGTGCGCGTATTTTCCGTATTTCACCCCTGCTAGTGACATACGAAGTTCGAAAATTTCCCGCCATTTTCATTGTTGTTGTTTTGAAAATACAAAAGATCTTTGGTTCGTATTTAAAACGAAATTAACGTTTGAAATAAAACGAAAACATTTAAAAGACTTCTTGAGATAAGTAAAATTTATTCTAGTTTTATAGTTGCAGTATAATTTTAAAAAATATCGCTTTTATATCGCTTCTGAATATCGCTTCTGAATAAGTCCATATAATAAACAGAACATAAATATCGCTTCTGAATAAGTCCATATAATAAACAGAACATTAAACAGTTGCGAGAAGATATGGATTTATGTTCTCGTGTCAAAAACAATATCTCACTCGTTCGCTGCGCTCACTTGTGAGATATTGTTTTTGGCACTCGAACATAAAATCCATATCTCTTCGCAACAGTCTAATATCCTATATATATTGCCTGCGAAGTACGAAGAAACATTGTTCTTCTGTTCAAGCAACACATGCTGTGCTTTTGTTCTTCACAGGGAAAACATGCAAATTCCGCTTATATAGAATAGCCGTTTTTGGTGAACTATACTTAAAATCAAACTTAGGCCTATCATGTTTAGCAACAGTTTTTGACACAAATTATATTTTTGAGATATTGTGCCCCGATGGCAATGCACCCTACCTTTTTATTTCAATGTCTCGATTTTGCTTGTCAAGGGGAGAGTGCTGCCGCTCTCAATTAAATTCGCTAGGTTTGTCAAGGTAGGTGGCTCAGTCAGTGCTTCCATAAGTCTTCAATGAAATTTCCCTTTTTGAGTGTAAAATTTTCTTTTATCCCGTTAAATTTCCTTGCCAAAATCACGAAATTTCCCTTCAAATTTCCTTCCTATTCGGAGACTTCTTGGAGATTATGGCGCAGGCTGCGCATCAACAACTTGTACTCTGGTGCCTCCAGCCTCATGTGTTCGTGCCTGAAGCGCAAAGATGTTGAACATACGGGATCATAACGCTGAAACCACAATTAAAAAACTCATCCATAACTATTTCTTATTTGTTTAAGTCTTACATATTATGAAGAACAATAAAAACAATTATCAATTATCTAAGGGGCAAAAGGGGCATTTGCCCCCGCCCTAGATTTCCACTGGCCCAAAGGAAAAACGAATAAAAAATTTATAGTTTTCCTTCAAAAGTTTACATAATGTCATCACCGACTAATTAAAGCAACCTCACTTACCTCAGTGTTTTCAATAACAAATATATACAATGTAATATATTGCATGAATACCTTCACCGTGCACATATGCATTTTTAATACAAAATATTCCAACCATGCGGCATACTGTCACTTAAACAAAACTAACTGAAACATTTTCTAAGCGGAGGAACTACAATATGAGTTTTATATGTCCAATATGGCTGGAGAACTTGATCAGCCTTTTTCACAGACACGGGCGAATTCGCATTTTGTGACCGGCCCTTAAAATAGTTTTTGCCCCGGACCTGGAAAGGTTTCCGGTACTGGCCTAGTTCCTGGCCTTTCGCTTCCGCCGGAAGCCAGGTCGGTACTTGGCATTAATTAGAAACCGATTGAACCGCGACCCGGACACGCGAGAGAGCCAGGGATTAGGCTATAAAACAACATAAAATCGTAGTCAAGACAAATTAAAGTTCAAAACTTAGATTTAAAAACACTTTTCCCAGTAATCCGGAGGGAAATGTACATTGTTTGTTGTCTATTTTTAAGATTAAAGCTAACAATTTGAAGAATCTTAAATTCCTTTCAATTTCTTTGCTTGAGGCTAGATTTCCTTGCTATTTCCTTGTCAATTTTATTTCCTTGCATTTTTCCCTCCAAATACCAAAATTTCCTTTTGCAAGGAAATTTTCTTGCAAATGGAAGCACTGGGCTCAGTTTTGAAGTTTTTGTTAATAGGTGAATTAGTTTTGATCAGACACAGCACTAAAATGCGATGCCCTACAAATAAAACTTCCTCTCGGCCGCCAGTTGGTCCGTACGCTAGGATTAAACTGCTCTTTAAAACGTTCAAAATAAAATATTTTTCGGCCTTTTGAGACGAATCCACTGGTATACGCCCGAAAAAGAGAAAATCAACGATACCACTAAAAGTTATCAAGGATCAAACATACTGCATTTTTTATAATTAAATTAGTTTAATAATCTTGAGCAATTAGTCAACAATACAATTTCGCTTGGCTTTCAAAGACAAAGGCCATAAATCGCTAGAATACTGTTGTTTAGTAATACCGATTTGACATTCGTAAGTACAATCAATTTCGTTGAATCGAACGGTGGTATTTTATCCTTATTGCAGTGCCATTAGGCATTACAAATACAAGGACAAACGTACCGTAACTACACACTAGTTCATAATTTCCATTAACACAACATATATATATATATATATATATATATATATATATATATATATATATATATATATATATATATATATATATATATATATATATATATATATATATATATATATATATATATATATATATATATATATAAGTAAATCACCAACCCTTCTCCGATCAAGTTCAATATCATATTAATATAAATAAATCACAAACTAAACTTTTTATTACAACATTTATTCTAAACCAACGTTTCGGGGCATGCCCCATCATCAAGGATGAATAACGAAGTCAATGGCCTAATGTCCTTTATATAACCCTATTAATTATATACAACAATTAATCAAAATCTCTCATATCTAATCCCCTAGGTACAAAACTGTATAATTATTGATAAAACCAATATTGGTAAGCCTACACAAAGGGAAGCATTTTGGGTATACAAATTGGACAGTTTTGTACCTAGGGGATTTAATATGAGAGATTTTGATTAATTGTTGTATATAATTAATAGGGTTATATAAAGGACATTAGGCCATTGACTTCGTTATTCATCCTTGATGAAGGGGCATGCCCCGAAACGTTGGTTTAGAATAAATGTTGTAATAAAAAGTTTAGTTTGTGATTTAGTTATATATATATATATATATATATATATATATATATATATATATATATATATATATATATATATATATATATATATATATATATATATATATATATATATATATATATATATATATATGGCTCTTTACACCGCTTTAAAACTACGACATGGAGTACGCATGCGTATCCGAGATATGACTTACTTGTCACTTTTATAATATTTTTGTGTGTCCCACATCCGCATCCTAACTTGTCTTTATATAATTTCTGGATGTGCAGCTCCTCCCCATTAGCTACACTGTGCTGATGAGCCCCAACAGGGCGAAACAGCTATCCACAGTTGCTAATTTGAGCAGGTCACACTAAAGTCATAGTCTGTTTATGGCTTACTTGTCACTTTTATAATGACTTACAGTACTAGTACTTGTCACTTTTATAATATTTTTTGTGTCCCACATCCGCATCCTAACTTATCTTCGAGTTTTAGTGAAAACAATATTTTACGAACGAGCGCAGCGAGTGAGTAAAATATTGTTTTTAACACGAGAAGATAAAAGTCATATCTTCAAGCCACCGTGCAGTAATGTTCTGTTTATTATATACGTACTTAGCCTCCTCCGCAGGCATCTCACCCGAGGAATCGGGTGGTGGGAAAAAGTTTGGTGAGATGCCTGCCATAAATCGACACAAAAA